TTCTTATAATATCTCTGTATTTTTAAAAGAAACTGAAATTCCAGAATTGTCGCTGCAGACCCCTATCAATGTCCCAATGGTGGGGACTGGAGAAATGGTTCAAGGGTTAAGACGCTTGTTCTGCAAGCACAAGGGCCAAGCTTGAGGCCCCAGGACCCACAGAAAGGCAGGGAGGGAGTGATCTCTAGAGCAAGTTGGCCAGCTAGACTCGCTGTGGGAAGTTCTGGATTCAGTGAGAGACCATGGCTCCAGAGAAAAGGTTGAGAGTGATCAAGAGAGATCCTTGGCAGCAACCTCTGACCTCTGTATGCATGCGCACACAGTTTCACGCATGCACACCTGCACATCTGCAAATACACAGTCGTGCACACGGCACAATACTATGCATTTATTGTTTTCGAGACAGAGTTTCTCTGTGTAGCCTTGGTTGTCCTGGAACTCGCTTTGTAGACCAGGCTGCCCTTGAACTCACAGAGATCTGCCTGCCTCTGCCTCCCGAGTGCTAGGATTAAAGTCGAGTGCCACCACACCCAGCCAATGATACCTTTTTTGACAGGTTCAAAAGCCACTCTAAATGTATATGGAATATTAGGGGACCCCAAGATGGTTCTAGATATGTGAATACAGCACGTGTAATATATACATATGGAATATGAAATGAGTAGTATGCACAACCAAGGCAGTATCCTGTCATCATGGGGAAAGACACAGAACTGAGCACCCAAAGGCAGCCTCTTGTTGCTTATGGAGGTGTGTGTCAAGAACACTGGGCCCTTTTAACAGACGGTGCTGGAAAAACTGGAGAGATAGAAATAGACAGAAGCAATGAGTGAAGCTGGACTCATATCGCTCATCAGTGGCACAATGACCTTCAAGTAGATCAAGGGCATAAACACCAGAGCCAAAAAGCCAATATTATGAAGCGCTTAGAAGAAAACAGAAAAACATTCAAACTATTGACAGTGATTTACCCCCACAGGTGTTTTTTTTTTTTTTTTTTTTTTTTTTTTTTTTTTTTTTTTTTTTTTTGAGACAGAGTCTCTCCGTGTAGCCCTGGCTGACCTGGAACACTCTATGTAGACTGGCTGGCTTCACAGAGATCTGCTCATCTCGGCCTCCCTAGTGTGGGATAAAGAGAATGCACCACGACACTCAGCTGAACAACATATACATGCAAAGCAAGGTTCTAACTTCTACTATGATAAAAATCAAAGCATCAACTGACTCTTAAGAACATCAAAAATTCTTGCAGTATCAAGTACTCAGCCAAGATGCGATTCTTTATGTAAAAATAAGCAAGCGCGCCTGGGGCTAGAGGGAGAGCTCAGCAGTTAGGAACTTCCTGCTCTTCTACAGGATCAGAGTTCAGTTCCTACCACCTACATGAGGAGGCTTATAACCACTGGTAACTTCAGCTCCAGAGCACTGGACACCCTATTCTAGCCTCTGGGGCCTTTTGAACACCCCCCCCCCAACACACAATTTAAAAAATTAAATATTTAGTAAAAGCCCAAGTAATTCATTTCATGTATATTTGTTTCCCCCTTCTAATGCATAACAAAATTAAATTTATATCCAAGAATTATTTTGAAATAACTTTCCTTATGATTTATCATCAGTAATTATTTGATTTTGTACCAATTTTAAATGGCCAGTGTCACGTGTCACACAGGTGCAAAGATGTCAGGAGTGGAAAAAGTCCACAGAGCTAAATCTCAGAGAAGGGAAGAAAACAAAAATGTAAAATTTTGTCAAAAAAAATTAAAAACCTTGTACTTTTTTCAGAGATGGTGTGTCACGTAGTCAAGTTGGCCTCAAACTCCCTATGTCTCCGAGGCTGGCCTTGAACTTCTGTCTTCCTGTTTTCAATTTCCAAGCACTGGAGTTACAGGTGTGCACTGCCATACCTACTTCATGCAGTGCTGGGAATGGAACCAGGCCCTCGTGATGCTGGGCAAGGTGAACCAGAGCCCCAGTGCAAAGTCAGTGGGTAAGAGCCCTGGCTGCTCTTATGGAGGACCCAGGCTTGCTTCCCCGTGCCCACGTGGCAGCTCACAGCTATATGTAACTCCAGCACCAGGGGATCTGGTGCCCTTTTCTGGCTTACGAGGGTACTGCATGCTCATGGCACACAGACATATGTGCAGGCAAACATGCATACACGTAAAATAAAAATAAACCCACTTTCTTCAAGCATGGAAAGGTAAGTACAGAACAGGACAATGGTCAGCCACATCTTGCTGGATAAAGGATTAACGTCTAGAATATGTAAAATGTTGAACAACAAAACCAAGAATAAGACAGTTGAGAGAAAAAAAAAAACCCAAGAAATCCAAGTTAGAAGTAGACAAAGGACACAAATGGACTTTTTTGCCCCCAAAGAAGGTGTAAGATGATCCACTGAGCACATGAAAAGGTTCTCACTGTCACCGTCAGGCAGGGAAATGTAAACCAAACCAGGAATAAAAACTACCTCACACCAACAAGTTGGCTGTTAGTTGGAAAAGTCACAAATAATCTGGAGCCTCACACTTGCCTGGCGGGGGGAATCTAAGATGGTACAACTGCTGAGAAAAACAGTCAGGAGGTGTCCTAGTCAGAGTTTCTATGGCTGCAAGGAAACACCATGACCAAAAATCAAGTTAGGGAGGAAAGGGTTTATTTGGTTTACACTTCCACAGCACTGTTCATCATTAAAGAAGTCAGCACAGGAACTCAAATGGGAGAATCCCGGGCACAAGAGCTGATGCAGAGGCCATGGAGGAATGCTGCTTACTGGTTTGATTCCTCTGGCTTGCTCACACTGCTTCCATATAGGACACAGGACCAACAGCCCAGGGATGAAACCACCCACAATGGGCTGAGCCCTCCCCCATCAATCACTAGTTAAGAAAATGCCTTATACCTGTGTCTTATGGAGGCCTCTTCTATTGGTGTTTCCTCCTTTCAGATAACCCTAGTTTGTGTGTCGAGACAACACAAGACTAGACAGCATAAGAGGATCCTCAAGAAAGTTCAACAGAGAGACCGTGCAGAATTTCCACACAGCGCAGCGACTTCCCCTCCTAGGCTTAATTCAAGGGACTAGAAAGTACTGAGTCAGATGCTCAGATGTCGGCATCAGGCAGCATTACTCACAGCAGCCAAAGGCTAGAGCAAGCCACGTATGGCCATCCAAGGATAAATGGACCAACCACAGCCTTAAACAGGGAATAAATTCCAGGACATGTCACTGTACGGATGAACTCGCAGCAGAAGAGATTCAGAGAATTGAGTCAGTCACACAAGGACACATGCTACAGTATTCTCTTCTTATGGGGCCTTTAGAGCCATCAGAAGATGGAGGATGGGCTGTCAGGTCAGTGGGACCGTGCTTTTAGTTTGGGGAGGTGGAAAATCCTGAAGGTAGCTGAGAGGGATACCTTCACAGCACTGTGAATGTGCCTCGAGATGCTGAGCTGTGTGCTTAGCTGTGGGGAACGTGGGGAATTTTATATTATATCCATTTACCACACTCAGATGTCATTTAGTCCAGTTTAAATGTTCCTGTTAATATTCACAGTCCCTCCAACGAGAGAAGGACCCTGAAATCTCCCCCTTACCTGTCCTGCCCATTTATCTTGCTTCTCCATGCTAGGTCCCAATCCTAGGCACACCTTTCAAGGCTCCCTGAGCCAGCCAACCCCTGCTGCGGGGCCTTTGCCCTGGTGTTAATCTCTGGTGTTAGCCCTCGCTAATCTTCAGGAGGCTGTCTGTCGCCTACCTACCCCCATAAAACAGGGTGACCATCTTTTGGCTCCTGGAAAACTATGTTGCTATCCCAAAGAGCCCAGTCCTGTGGTAGGATTTGAAGCAACCCATGGATCTTGTCATACCCCCCCCACCAGGGGTGGCATCAGCTCCCAGCTAGGTTCAACAGACCAGGAAGCATCTGTGTGAGGTCCACGATGGAGGCCAGGGAGATCAAAGTCCTTGTAGGAGGTGGGAGAGACCAGGCATGTTCTTGGAGCCTGGGTGCGGGGTTGTGGGGGTGCACACTCAGCCTTTCTCATGTGATGGCAGCTCAGAGGATCAGGATATGGACGGTCAAGGTGAACTGTCCAGCCCCAATAGCTTCTCCAGTGTCACTGAGCAGGATTTGTGGCCACAGGCTGGAGTTTGGAAGCCAGGGCAGCCATGTAGTCTCCATTAGTTTGCTTCATCAGACCAGTCTTGGGAGGAACCTCTGGGTGTGCTGGGGGCACAGGCCTGACTGTGCCCAAACCAAGAAGCTCTGTTCCTAGGACGAGTCAACATGGGCTCTCTGTGGCCCTAGGGAATGTTTTTCTATAGGGACCATGTTCACCCTTGAGCTCTGTGTGGCCCAGCGTAGTTTCCTTTGTCCTGGCTGGCCCTGGCCTCAGAGGCCAGGATGAAGGACAGGTCCCGCCCCAGGCTCTGTGGTCAAAACCACAGGCTGGTTCCTGGCATAGCCGAGGCGCCCCCACACACACTCTGCACTCCAGGAGGCGGCTGGCCAGCCACCCCTACCCCCCATTCCTGCCAAGCAGGAACAACCATGTTCCTCCTGTCCCTCTCCTCCCTGTCCACGGCTTCCAACTCCCTCAACTGTGAAGAGGTAAACTCCGAAGGCTGAGCAAACAGGCTGGGTGGCCACCGCATCCGGGATGTCTCAACAGCTGCGACCCCAACAGGCCTGTCACCCTCCATCCACAGTGTTGTGCTCAGTGCCAGAATAAGGACAGGACTTAGGTGGCAGCTGCACCTCCCCCAGGGTAGTGTGAGGATCTACTGGGTGCCTGCTAGGTGCTGCCTGTGGGACAGAGGCCACAGGCTTTGTTCTGAGTTAGGATGGGCAGGAGTGGGTGGGTGATGTCATCTGAGCCAGGGGTGGATGAGGCTCACTGGGCATAGCTCAGTGAACACAGGGTGCCAGGTCCTGGGCAGGGGAGAGAAACTGGTAAGACAGCCAGCTGTCCAGGCAGTGGGGCACTCCCGAGATGGGAGCCTGTAGGATTCTCCTGTTGAGACCAGCTTATCAGGGCATTAAGTGCAATTGGACACCAGCTATTGCCCGGCCTGTACGCAGGTAGGAAGGCCAAGGAGGGCAGGTTGCCACAGAGGCCTAGGCAAGTCACAGCTGGTGACACAGACCATCTAGGGAAGGGGACACAGACCACTCTTCAGACCATCCCTGGGTTCCCTGCAGCAACACATTTAGCAGAGGAACTGGACACGAAGAGAACATGACCAACCTGAAGAGCCTGGCCACACACAGAGGAGAGGTCTGATGTGCTAATGCCAGACCCAACCCGGGATGGCACCAGGACCCTAAGCAGGAGCTGTAGGCCCCACCCTGGGCCATGCTACACACATGAACTGGGCATTAAAAAATCTGAAGACAAAGGTTTAAAAAAATAAATAAACAGGTGTTGACCCCCCAGCCAGCCTTAGTTCGTCCAGGGACACCTAGAGGGCATCTGCCAGGCCAGAGCAAATGTGAGCAGACAGTTGACATTGTTATTGAGATAAAAGTCCAAATGGCATATTTTTATCCACCCTGGTTATATCTGAGGCCGCAGCCTAGCAGCATGCGCAGCCACCCACATTCTCCTCTAGAACTTTCCATCTTCCCAGTGAACACCCTGTCCTCATTAAAGACACACACTCCAGCCTCTGGCATCCCATCCTGCTTTCTGTCTCTGTGGATCTGACAACTCTGGGCTCCTTCCAGAGTGGGATCCTGCAGGATTCTCTCTCTTTTGAGACCAGGATTCTCAAGGTCAACTCATGTTGCTATGGGCATCAGAATGCCCTCTTTTTAAAAGTCTGTATACTGGTCAGGCTGTGGTGGTGCACACCCTTAATCCCAGCACTTGGGACGCAGAGGCAGGTGGACCTCTGAGTTCAAGGCCAGCCTGGTCTATAGAGTGAGTTCCAGAACAGCCAAGCAGGACTACACAGAGAAACCCTGCCTTGAAAACAAAAAGTCTGTAGTCTAGTCCACTGTAGCGATGGGCCATCTCTTGCTCAGCCACTGTCCAATGTCAGACACCTAGGGTACTTCCATTTTAGTAACTGTGGATGGGGGCATTAGATCAGGGGTGACTGTTTTCTCCTTTTCTGGGGAGTTTACCTAAGAGAAGAATTGGTAGGCCATATAGCAGTTCTATTTTTAACTTAAGGAAGTGTCAGGATGTTCCCTACCAATGGCCCCACTTGGCTGCCCACTGACTGAGCGGGGTTCCCGCCTCCCCATGTCCTCACCAGCACTATCTGTGCTCTACTGTTAGACAGCAGCTGATCTCTCAGTTATGGGACAATTTAAAGGCTTTTCACATAGACTTTTTTCCTTTCCCAACATTCCATCTCTAGGAACTTAGCCTCAGAAAGACAAGTACTGGGGCAGTCTGGGAGAGGCTTCCATGATCCTGAAATCATCTGAACACTGTGCCACTCTCTTTGCCTGGCCCAACCCTAGGACCTTTCTCAGACTGGTCAGATCTGGTGTGCATTGCTGGTGGCTGCACAGCTATAAGAGAAGGAATGTGAGCACATCCTGTGTGCATCTAACAGAAAAGATGCTAAGACAAAAGCATACTGCTCTTCGTAGAAGCCTAGAAATGGCATTGGTGGATTTGTTCATGGTCAAGAAAATTGCTCCCCACAACCCACAGGAAACCCAACCAACACAACTGGGCCCCTACGACTCCCATCCAGGATGCACAGTAGGGTTCGGAGATTCTCGGTTATTCCCTTGCCCCACTGTGCTCCCGGCAAGGGGTTCACCAGTTCTTTTAGCTGAGGCCCTAGGCAGGTCCAGGGCCCTTGGGACCCTTGGCCATTTCCTTTATCAAGGCCCAGGGTTAACAAACTGGCCCTGGGAAGAGACGGAGTATAACAGGGGAAGGTGTGGCCTGTCTTGGCCAAAACCAGTATTGGGCCTCATCTTCTCCATGTGCTTAAGCTCTGCAGCACACAGGAGCCCAGAGACTCATCCTTTTCCAGAATCTGTGAGGGTTCTCCTCCTCCCCAGACCCCCAGAAGCTACACAGAACAGGGACTCTGCCAGGTCTATGGCCATCTGGAGCACAGTTGGAATCCTTGGGCCCCCATTTTCTGGGCTGAAGTATGACCCCAGAAAAGTGGGCCTACCCTCACAGCTTTGACAGACCTCACATTCTTTGGAGACCCAGTTTTGAGCACCTGTGGTCAGCCTCCTGGGCAAACAAAAGCCAAGGTTGTTGCTCCTTTGACCCTGATTCTTATGGTGTCCAGGCTCCCAGAAGAGCTGACATAGGGCTGCCTGGCCAAATACCCGCCCCATAGGTCCAGGGCTTCGAATCCAGAGTAGCCAGTTCCACCCCCAGGCCAAGTGCTGGCCCTTCCCTGCCCTGTCCACTCCCTCCCAGTTCTCAGAAGCTGTGAGGGGTGGGGGTGCTCTGTCTGGTGGCACAGTGCTGCAAATCCTTCCTTCTCCATGGCCTCTTCCTGTCATAGCCCCTCCCCAAGAGCAAACACACGTGGCTGTGCAGGGAGTAGACAATGCCTTACATGGCCTAGGAACTGGGCACTGGGCCAAAGCCTTCTGCTACATAAGTCCGGGCCCCCAGGGAGCAAGTGCCTTGTCTCAGTCCCTCCTGCCTTCCCCTCTGTGCTGCCCCCAGGATGGGCAGCAAGAGCTGGAGCTGGGCTCTGGTCTGGGCCTCTGTGGCCTTGCTCATGGTGTGGCCAGCAGGTAAGGTCAAAGCCCCTTACCCCCTCAAAACCATCTTCCCAGAGAGATGACCTCCACCTGAGGATTTCTCTTGCTGAGATGACAGTCACCTCCCATGGTCCCCACAATCCTGGTCCCAGGATTTGCAGTTCTCTGGGCTCTGGATCCTATGCCCCATACTCTAGCTATGTTGGCAGCCTTTAGGGCCTGGCTTCGATGGAGGTACCTGGAAGAAGTTAGGTCCCCCAAGCCTCGAGGTATGAGCCCTGGTAGGAACCCCAAGACCATTTTGGCTTGGGAAATGAACAGGAATGGGGGATAAATTCGATGACCACAGGATGAGAGGCCTGTATCCAAATTAGCAGGGACAGAGACGTCTAGTTAGGAAAGGCCCTGCCCCCCACTGTTGGGCTCACAGGTACCAGAATGCTGTTCACAAAGGCTGGGGCCAGAACAGATGGCTAAGATGCCCAGAGCTGTAGTCTGAACCCATGGCTGGGTAAGGTGGGCTGTGCGACCTTGTTCCCTGAGCTGTTTTCCTTGCCTGTTTGTTCTTGAGAAAGCTGGAGCTCTAATACCGTCAACATTATTGGACAGATGGCTTCCACAGGGCTCAGTAGCAAGCAATCAGGGCTAGCCTGAATCCCCAAGTGCCATGATCTCCCCAGGCTCTGCTCCCTAGAATAGGAGTCTGAGCAGGAGGGAATCTCAGCTCCAGGCTTCCTGTGAAAGAAGACAGTGTGTGTGGTGGGGCAGGGGGTCCCCAAAGCCCATTCTTTGAGGGCCAGAGAATCCACGGTTGTTCCTCTTGCTTCTAGGGCTGTCTGATGGCTGCTAACTGCTCCCCTGGGCCGTATCTCTCCATAACATGGCTCTCCCTGTGTCAGGTCCTGTCTATCAGAGTGCTGAGCCTACCCGGTGAACAGTCAGCCCTCCTTTCCCACTCACTTTACTTGTGAAGGGCAAATTAGGCCCTGGGTTGGGGGAGTGTCCTTTTGTTACAACTATGTGTATGCGTGTGGGGGAAGTGGTTGGGCAGAGGCTGGGCCTTCTCATAGAGGGCATTTGGTTCTTGTCTGTATGAGTAGCCCAGACCAAGATGTGGAGATGGGTGGCTGAAAACTCTCTGGCCAAGTGAAGACTGAGGGACCTCGGCCTGAGGGGGACTGGTGTAGTGTAGGAGCGCTTGGGATGGGGAGGGCATTCTTACCCATGGACCCTCTAACAGATAGCAGAGGACAGGCTGGGGCAGATCTGGGGTCAAGGATGGACAGAGGGAGAGGCTGTGCCCCTGGGAAATGCAGTCAAGCGGGGCCCTTGAGGAAGGATTAATGCACAGGACAGTCCCTGCGGTTTCCAAATGTCAGCTGGACACGCTGGGAAAATCAAACAGGAAGCCGCACTGCCTATGGCACTGGAGCAAGTAGCCATCTGGGTCTAAGCCTGGGGAACATGGTCCCTTACAGAGTGCTAGCCTTAAGGAGCCATCGGGCTTTGGAGTCTTGAGTTGAATCTGTCTCATGGGCCCCTAGCAGTCAGGCTGAGGAGGTGGCCTTGCCCAGAGGCAGTGGAGAGTCCAGGCCATTGAGAATGGACATCCAAGAACTAAACTCCTCTTGTTACCTGTCCTGACTCACAGATCCAGTCTGGGGCTGATTCTGATCTTAGGTTCCTTTCTGCTTCGCCGCTCTTGGAAAGCTCCAAGTGTTTTCTCCCTAACAAAGCCAGCCTTTGTCTTCCAAGGGCCTCAAGTGAAGGGGGTGACAGTTACCTCCCAACAGATATCACAGTTCTGACACTAACACTGTTTCCTGACTTGCTTCCTTGAACCACTGGGAACATCTGCCCTATCACTGGCAAGCCCAGGTGTCACTCCACAGGCACAGGTGGCAAGCACACCTGGCTTTGGTGGTGTTCAGTGACTGAAAGGTACCACAGCTCCCGGGGTTGGGGTCACCAGGCCCAAGTCTGTTAAGGTTTCTATAGATTACAAGAGGGCTGTGGCCTGGAGCCATAGCCAGCTCATGTGCCTCACACGAAGCCGGAGCAGTAGCCATGGCCTAATGGCTTCTTTTTGATTCATGCTCTTTCCTACAGAGAGCCTGGGTCAGGAAAAGCTGAACTTGGAACACGGAGAACTCACTGGAGATGGTAAGAAAGTGATTAGTGGTACCTAACTCGGGCATGGGCTGGGAAGTCATATTCTGATGGTGAGTGGGATGGGTCTCAGGTGGGGCAGGCCGCTGGTCTTCCCACAACCATTTATCATATTGAAACTCTTGACTTGTCTGTTCTGCCTGAAAGGCAGTGCTGGGCACACACTGACAGAAACACCCAGAAAAAGGAAGATCTCCTGGGTGGACAGGAGAGGGTTTTGAGGGGAAGGGGGAAGAGTCTAGGGATGACCAAGCAGAAACTGGACAGCCTGAAACCAACCTGTTAGTCTTGGGCTTCCTGATTTCCTTGGGGTGAGCTCTAAAAAGGGTAAGGAGGCCGGGAGGGATAGCCCCGGCCATATCCCAGTGTGACCTGGCCTTCCTTCCGCAGCCCCCACGTCTCCGTCCATGCAGTACATCACCTTCATCCCACCCATTACTGTCTTTCCTACCATGAGCCGTAAGTGGACACTTCCTACTGCTAACGAGGCCAAGGAGTGGGGGTGGGGTGGGGGACTTGTCAGTCTGGTTGAAGCTGACATTGGTGGGGGGAGGGTGCCGAACAGCTCTAAACAGGGTCTCAAACTTTTCCTGGGAACATCTGTTGACCGCCCTGGGGGCATCTGACCTGCAAGCAAATGAAAGGGATGATGGAGCTGGGTCTTTCCGTTTTATTTGAGCAGCTGGGGGAGTGGGATAGGGCAGAGAGCTGGCTCAGATAGCTTTGGGTAGCTGGCTTCCCTGATCCAAAGATATTGCCTTGGCTCTGGGAGGTTGTCCCTTGGGTAGCTGGCCATGGAGTGGTGGCACTCAGTGGTGGTTATCTGGCTTCCCTGCAGCTTTAAAACAGGCACACAATGGGAGGGTGTGCAGCACGTGGGGCGACTTCCACTACAAGACCTTCGACGGTGACGTGTTTCGCTTCCCTGGCTTCTGTAACTACGTCTTCTCTTCACACTGTGGGGCCGCCTACGAGGACTTCAACATCCAACTGCGTCGTGGTCTTGAGGGTTCCAGGCCCGTGGTCACCCATGTGGTCCTCAAGGCCCAGGGGCTGGTGATCGAGCTATTCAATGACTCTGTCCTGATGGGTGGACGGCGGTGAGCTGGGCATTGGGGAAAAGCACATTCAAGCCTGGCCTTTAGACATCAACCTGTCCCCACTTGGTGCTCTGGGGAGGGGTTAGGGCCAGAGTGAGTGGGGAGGACAGCCCCTGCCTATAGCCTGCTGAAGGAAGACTTTCTGCATAGGGAGGAGTTGCCCTACAGCCGTGCAGGCCTTCTGATGGAAAAGAGCAGTGGCTATGTGAAGATTGTCATCCGGATGGTCCTCACCTTCCTGTGGAACAAAGACAGTGCCCTGGTGAGAACATTCACCCAGTTCCCCACAGCCCTCCAAAACACTATATTGGTCCTACACAAGCCCTCACAGCCTCACATAGGCCCTATCAGTACTAGAGATCCCCAGAACCCTCTATGATCTAGCACAGCTTCCCATTCCCTCCATAACCTCTACAGACTCCATAGACCCAACCTCTCCACAGAGTTCATAAAAATCTCAAGTCACTTATGGCTTCCTGCAGTCTCCCACAGCCCATACAGCCCTCCTCATATCCTCACAGTTCATCTACAGCCCCTACAGTTCCTGGCACACACACACACACACACACACACACACACACACACACACACACAGAGAGAGAGAGAGAGAGAGAGAGAGAGAGAGAGAGAGAGAGAGAACAAGGAGAATATCCTCTCTGGTCCCTGGGAAAGTGTGGTGGGAAGCTGCCAGGCGGGCCCTGGAGCCAGAGCAGAAGCCCTGAGGCTGGAGCTTCTCTGTCTCACCCTCAGCTGGAGCTGGACTCCCAATATGCCAACCAGACGTGTGGGCTGTGCGGCGACTTCAACGGGCTCCCAGCTGTCAACGAGTTCTACGCCCACAGTGAGTACCTCAGAGTCTTCAGGCTAGGTGGTCCTAATGGCTAGAGAATCAAGGAAGTCCAGAAAGGGCATGAAGGGTGGGATTGCAGAGACACGGAGGAGGGGAAGAGAGAGAGAGAGAGAGAGAGAGAGAGAGAGAGAGAGAGAGAGAGAGGAGAGAGAGAGTTTTCCAGGTAGAGGCCCCTGATAGCCACCCCAGAAAGTCTATCTCCTGACCGTGAGCTTTCTCTCCTGCAGACACCAGGCTGACTCCAATACAGTTTGGAAACCTGCAGAAGCTGGATGGTCCTACAGAGCAGTGCCAGGACCCCCTGCCCTCAGCTGTCAACAACTGCACAGATAAGGTCAGCACCTTCATTATGCCACAGTCCCCAAGACCTGGAACAGTGCAATGCCTGCATCAGCTGATATGAAACCAGAGCACTGTCTGGCCAATGGCTGAGGAAAATCCTCGGGTGTCCAGATGGAGAGGGCTTTCCAGCTCCTGAACAATCAGGGAATGGAAAGCTCCAGGAGGTTGCTGCTTGGGCCTGAGGGAGGCAGGAGACACTGGCTTTCCCCAGTGGGACAAAATGGATTACATTTATTTTAGACAGTCACAACTCATACATCAGGGCATTCATGTTCTCTGTGTAGAGGTGATGTGTGTGGAGAAAATGTGTGCCTACCACCACACAGCGGATCAAGGTAGACACCACTCAAGCACACTTAAGCCCCTCCTGTGAGCAGGGAGGACTCATCCTTTGGATGTGACTCCACAATCCTTGAAACTAGCAGACTACCTGAGTCCTTTCTAGATTGTAAAGTGAGTGAGAATGTTGCCAAATACTGAGAATCTTGGCCCCACACTGATTTATCTGGGGTGCTGGGGTAGGAAGATATTCAATAGTCCATGGAGGCCACCTAAGGGTGGGTGTTATCTTTAGTCCCTTCTCTTCTGAGCCACCATACAGGGATGCATTCTGCACTGTCTTAGGCATACAAGTCAGCTTGTCTTGGAGGCCTAGAGTAGGAGGTGGTGGGAACAAAGTGCCCTGTGTCACTCCCTCAGAGACAAGCAGATCTCTGTACCCAGACAGAGCAGGTTCACAGTGTTTGAGTATAAGGATGATGGATGGATGGATGGATGGATGGATGGATGGATGGATAGTAGGTAGGTAGGTTAGGGTTGGTGATTTGGTAGATAGTTGGGGAGATGAGTGATGAATGAAAGATAAATGGCAATAGATGGTGGATGAACGATGGGTGGATGATGGATGGATGGATGGACAGATAGACAGATGTATGGATTTGTAGGTAGAAGGAACCTCCAGGGGAAGAAGAGGCTTCCTGTCCTGGCCTTAGATGGGGAGAGTCCCCATTACAAGTGTCATGAAAATCCTGTTTGAGGGTCAGAGGTGCTTAGCCTCTCTGTGTTCCCCAGGAGGACATCTGCCGCCACATCCTGCTTGGCCCTGCCTTTGCTGAGTGCATTGCCCTGGTAGATGTCAATGTGTACTTAGATGCCTGCGTCCAGGACCTGTGCCGCTGTCCCACATGCCCATGCGCCACTTTTGCTGAATATTCCCGTCAGTGTGCTCATGCAGGGGGCCATCCACAGAACTGGAGGAGCTCTGATTTCTGCAGTAGGTATCCTCACTCAAGTATGGCCCAGGGTCTTACTAAGGGCCAGTTTTGAGCCTAGAATCTGGCTGGGAAGTCAAGGTAGAGAGAGTCACTTAAGGGCCAATGAGAGAGGGTGAATGTCAGGGGAAGAGGAGATAATGGGCAGAGTTGAGGGGAAGATCCTACACCTGAGGGCTCTGGTGGACCTGTTGGTTCTGGGGTGGGTGGCAGCTGTGTCCCTGGGCACAGCAAGAAGATATGGCTCCAGAGCCTCAGGCTAAGGTCTCTTGGAGAGCAGTAGCCTCAGATGGCCATGGGTAGAGAAGGCTGGCTGTGTGACAGGTGCTGGGTCCCTGCTCTCCTGCCTATTGCTTTACCCAGCAGATGGCTTTCTGGGATGTCAGTGGACATGGGAGCAAGGAGTGGGCATGATTCCCGCTGATGGACGTGGTCGGGACTCATTTCTCCTGGGTCACGTGCTATCCCTGTTACAGACTGGCCATGCCCTCTCAACATGGAGCACCGGGAGTGCAGCTCACCCTGTGTGGACACCTGCTCCAACCCACAGCACTCTCATCTCTGCGAGGACCACTGCACGGATGGCTGCTTCTGTTCACCAGGCAGGCCCTTGCCCTTTGCTCCCATCTCCATGGCTACCTTTGGGTCATGGTCTCTAGCATTTGACTCCAGCTTCAGCTGACCCTCTCTATTCCTAGGGGTGATGGGCCCTGCTAGGGGTCGCATACCATGACTAAAGGCAGAATGGAAATTGGTCATCAGCAAGGCAGAGATCTGCTGGTCTGTTTGCAGAGAATAGGTGTCTTGGGTCCCTGAGATCAGGTGGGGGAAACTGAGGCCTAGAGGGGCCTATCCCCATCAGTTCAAGCTGGGACAGCATTCTAGGCTAGGGGCCCTTCCACCTGCCTAGGACTGGGGTTCTCTTGGAGGCAGGCTGCACCATGCTACCTGTATGGGAGCATCTGTGTTCACTGCCCCTTCCACCAGGCACTGTGCTGGATGACATCAGACACCTGGGTTGCATTCCCCTGGAGCAGTGCCACTGTACTCATGGTGGCCACACTTATGCCCCTGGAGAGTCCTTCAACACCAGCTGCAGCTCCTGGTAAGCTTAACAGCCTTTTTGGAGTATGTGTGGGGAGGCTTGCCTCTTCCCTGTATCCCTCCTGCTCATGGACTCCCCCACAGCACCTGCTTCGGGGGACTGTGGAAGTGCCAGGACCTGCCATGCCCCGGCACCTGCTCTGTGCAAGGCGGGTCCCACATCTTCACCTATGATAAGAAACCCTACAACGTGCATGGAGACTGCAGCTACATCCTGACCAAGGTGGGGCCACAGTCCTGGTCCATAGGTGTCAGCTAGGGTCCGTGATGGTCAAAAGCAGGAGCGAAGACCATGGTGAATCTCTATGCTAACAAGGAAGTCTCAGGCCCCATGACAAGCTCTCTATGGAAAGGCGGGGTACCTGACGATACCTCTAAAACCTCTTCAGGCCTTGAAGGGTTGTGCATAAGGGAATTCCACATTCAGTCACACATCTTCGGTGTCTTGACAGAAATGTGGAAATAGCAGCTTCACTGTCCTGGCTGATCTGCGGAAATGTGGAGTGACGGATACCGAGAACTGCCTCAAAGCAGTGACACTCAATAGTGGGGGCACGGTGAGGACTGGGGCTCTGACTACCATCACATTCCGGGCTGTGAGTGACAGAGGTAGGGAAGCATAAGGAGTAGCGAAAGGTTAAAGTAAAGAGAGGCCTCTGTTTCCTCTCTAAGCCCTCAGATAGGAACAGCTACCACCCAGGTAGAGATTCTAGAACCTCCTGCTAGGGCAGGCCTGAGTTCCCTTCCTGGCTCTGTCCCTAGGATGCAGGGTGTGTGTGGGGGAATTCTTATTCTTTCTGTAAGGGGCTGGCTGGGCCCTGTGGGTACTGACTGTTCCACTACCTGGTTTTCACCCCAGGTCATCCGGATCCAGGAAAACAGGGCTGTGTTCCTGAACTCCATTTTTACCCAGCTGCCATTGTCAACAGGTGTGTGGCCCACTCTCAGCACTGGAGGAGTCTAGCTTCTGGTGTGTGCAGTGAAAAGCTGCTGCCCCTGGTTCTGTGGAAACCCTGTGTCTAGCAGCACCCCGCATGCCCTATCAGGGACAGTTGGCAGTCATTTACAACACAAAACCCACATTTGGGAACTTTGGCCATGGGATTTCCTGAGGTGCCCCACCTCCTGCCCCAGTCAGCATTGTCCTGACTGATTGTCCTGATGGGTTGGCCAGCTCCCAACATGCCTAACACCTCTCTCCTTACAGGCAACATCACCATCTTCAGTCCAACCTCCTTCTTCATCATAGTGGAGACGGGCATGGGGCTGCAGCTTCAAGTGCAGACGGTGCCCCTCATGCAGGTGTTTGTCAGGCTGGACCCCTCCTACCATGGCCAGATGTGCGGTGAGGCACCGGTGGCTTGAGGGTGGGGCTGTGGGGGTGGGGCTGTGGGGTGGGGCTTGTCCTAGCTCTAAGCTGTGAAATGGGATCAGCTGTGGAAGGTGGTGGGAAAGCTTTGGCTCTAGGGCTGGGTGGGGTTTCCAGCACCCCCAGCACACCTGTTACCCAATCAGTAACCTTGGAATAGCCTAGGAAAACAGAGCGAGCTGTGCTGCCTTGACTAGGCTAGCCCTGTTGGGGGCTTATCTGTGTCTGGTTCTGGAACTAAACACTGAAAAGGGACTTTCTTCCCAGTCATCTTTTGACAGTGCTTAGAGGGATGACAGCCCTGGGAGAGAGTGGCCAGGCTGAACAACCTACTAACTTCCTGACCCCGGTCCCTAGGCCTGTGTGGAAACTTCAACCAGAACCAGGCTGACGACTTCACAGTGTTCAGTGGAGTGGTGGAGGGCACAGGAGCAGCCTTCTCCAACACCTGGAAGGCTCAGCCCTCCTGCCCCAACTCAAAGAATACCTATGAGGACCCCTGCTCCTACAGCGTGGAGAACGGTAACCACCGGCTCCAGCCTTTGGCCACTCTGACAGCCCTTCCTGACATCTGGGCCACACAAACCCTCGGGGAAGGGCTCAGAGAACTGCCCTGTAGGCAGGAAGGCATGAAGGGTTAAGGCTAAGGCAGGGGAGAGGCTGTGGGGAGAGGTGAGGGCAGCCACGTCTCTCCCTTCCCTAGAGAAGTTTGCCCAGGAGTGGTGTTCCATGCTTACTGAAACCTCAGGAGTTTTCTCGGCCTGCCACGCCACGGTCAGCCCAGTGCCCTTCTACTCGGTGAGACCATGATCTGCGGGCCTTGGGTGGGGGCAGGTATGGAAGCCCTTGGATGCTGGGTTCCCAAAGCCCTCCCACCACTACCCACTCTGATGCTTACTTCTCAGGGTAGTTAAAAGGTTCCCCCGCAGAGAGGCTAGAACTTTCTGTTCTAGGGCTCAGAAGGGTCCTTCATGGTCTTAGTGTGTGGTCAACCTCTCTTTTGCAAAGACAGCAGGTGCTAGAGCAGAGATACCTCATGGCCTCATCTCCCTTGGCTTTCCCTTAAAGGCTTCTTTCTATGTTGGGTCCCATTCACATATGATACAGCACCTTTTGGGGGATACACCTCAACCCTAAACAGCACTCCAAAGCCCTAAACTTTAGCACATCACTTCATCCAAGTGGGTCCCCAGGTAACCCCTTCCCATGACACTCTGCTGGATACTCCCTCCTGAGCCTACCTGGCTTCTGCCTCTGTATTGTCTGCCCATCCTATCCAGGTTCCCTATGTGAAGCCCAATTAGAATGACACTTTAGATACAAGTTGACCTTGTCCTTGCCTTATGGAGACTCTTCCCCAGGGCCCCTGCCTTAGCCTTCATTCTTTCCAGCTTCTATGCCCAGACCCTAGGTCTGGTCTCCATTCTGGCTGCCACTTTGCCCTGTGGCTTCTGACTCTGTTCTTAACGCAAAGACCAAGCCACTCCTCCAAGACTCTGCTTGTCAAAGTCCTTTGTGGGGTGGCTCCTTCTGAAAAGCCACAGGTCCAGGCCTTGACCAGGGTTTGGCCGATGTTGCTATGAAAGGTAAATGAGCAACAAGGGAGCCTAGGAGACAGAGGTACCTGACTCCTTGACATCCTGTCTCTCAGAATTGCATATTTGACACATGCAACTGTAGAAACAGTGAGGACTGCATGTGTGCGGCCCTGTCCTCCTATGTGTTTGCCTGTGCTGCCAACGGTGTGCTGCTCAGCGACTGGAGGGATAGAATCTGTTGTGAGTATGCCGTGAGCCACCAAGGCTCGTCGTCACAGATGACACATCCCCACATTAGCCACCTGGACCCTGTCACCCTGGCACAGGGGAGAACTTGGGACCCCTGATAGCAGCAGCTACCACTCTCCTGTCCCATGCCTACAAGAACCCTGCATCCTGTTGTGTCAACAATGGTGTCACTAGTCTGGAGCAGGAAAGAGCAAGGGCTGGGCCAGTTCACCTAGTCATCGATTTTTCTGCCCCGTTCTTCTTCCTATAGACAACTACATGAGTGAGTGTCCCCAAACCAAGGATTACTTCTATTCGGTGAGTACTTGTGAGCCTACCTGCCGCTCTCTGAGTGAGGCCGACGTCACCTGTGGCATCTCCTTTGTGCCCGTGGATGGATGTGCCTGCCCTGAAGACACCTTCCTGGATGACAAAGGCTACTGTGTGCCCAAAGAGGAGTGCCCCTGTTACTTCCACGGAACGCCAGTGGCTCCCACAGAGATTCTGCTAGACAATGGTGCAGTGTGGTAAGGAAGATCACCCTCACACCCCTCATCCTCACAGATCTGTGTCAGCGGAGTCTCTAGCTTCTGGTTCTTCTATACCTGAAAGTTCATGTGGCTTCCACTGAGGGTTTCAGGGCATACTTGGGGCATGCTGGGTGTTGGGGGGTACCTTTCAGACTCCCTGAGAGACAGCAGGGAGGTTGTTCTGAGGGTGCTATGATGTCATGGCGGAAGTACTCAGAAGCAGTTCTCAGCTGAGGTCCAATTCCCTCCTTGGCCTCAAAGGCAGTTCCTTTACAAGTCACAGTGAAGGCGAGCTTTCTATCACAGTAACAAATGCCTGTGGCATGATATAAAGAGATGTTTGTCTTGGCTCATAGTTTTGGAGATTTAGCCTATGACTGATATGATAAGATATGATATGATAAGATATGATATGATATGACATGACATGAGTGGTCCCATGGCTTTGGGCCATGGTAAGGCAGCACATCATGGAAGAAGAATGTGAGGAACATAACCCACCTCACAGCAAGGAAGAGAGTGAGCAGGACAGGGTTAAGATCCCACTGCCCCCTTCAGTGACCTAACTTCTTCCTACTTGGCCCTACTTCTTAAGGGCACTATTGTCTCCAAGTATTAACACAGGCTGGCAACTGAACCTTTAGTGTAAGGGATTGTGGGGTTCAGGGTCTTCTCAAGGACCTCCCAACAGCAGGCAGGGTTTGGAGGCCTTGGGAGGAGGCAAGGAGGCCCATAAAGGCCCAGACCTTGGTGGGGTATGGGAGGTACTGGGGATAAGATGTAGGAGACACTGGGTACAGAGCAGGGGTACTACTGTCTCTTGTAGCTCGTGTGCAAATGGGAAGTTTACCTGCCTGGGAGCCCTGATGCAGAGAACCCCAGGTAACATTCTACCCTGACCATCCTGGACATGCCATGACTCCTTGCCAAGATGCTCTAGAAAAGGAGGTCCTTTGAGCTTTCGGGCAGTGTGGTCTTAAGAGCTCTTGGAGTTGTGGGATATACGTTCTAGGGCAGGTCTACACGGACTGGATGCTTGGGACAGAGCACAAAGCCTTTCAAGACCCAAGCTTGTCACCTGAGCAATAAGACAGGGTTGGGGAGACTGTAGGGACCTTCCTGCCCCAGGCCTCTCTCACACACTTGTCCTCCCCAGCGTGCAAGGAGCCTATGGTATACCTGGATTGTAACAATGCCACAGATGGTGTCCAAGGGGCTGAATGCCTCAGAAGCTGCCACACACTGGATGTGGACTGTGTGAGTCCTCTTGGCTGCAACACCAACCCTCATTTACTCTCCTAATCTGTGGAAAGAGTGGAGAGGGGAGAGTATTACTGGGCGATTGCTGGCTTTGGGTCTTGCAGACGCTGGCTAACCTCCTCTTGAGCACTCTCAGGACAGGGTCCACTTGCTTGGTGTCCTGGGCACCTGAGTAGGGATGAGGGAACAGGCTGCTGTTTCAGTGTCTGACCAGGCTGCCTGTGTCCGCAGTTCAGCACACACTGTGTCTCAGGCTGCGTGTGTCCCTCGGGGCTGGTGGCTGATGGGAATGGGGGCTGCATTGCTGAGGAGGACTGTCCCTGCGTACACAATGAGGTCACCTATAAACCTGGGGAGATCATCCGGGTAGACTGCAACAACTGGTAGGTCTTGGGACCCTCTGAGAGGGGTCAAGAGGTATGTACAGGGACACTGGTGTGGACTGGCCTTGGTGTTTTAGGTGCCTCGGCATGTATCTTGGGGGCCAAGGTATTTATAGGCTCCCATTCTGTGGAGTAAGGGCTGTTTCTCTAGCCTGGGGTGACTGGACACACACCCACCCGAGACCAAAGCTTGATGAACTCTGAGCTTAATTCCCCAGTTGAGGTGGCATGCTAGCATAGGGCCAGGACAGCCAGACTCGGAGAACAGTTCCCTCGTCAGCAATGACCTTTCCTTTCCTAGCACCTGCAGGAACCGCCGGTGGGAATGCACTGACCAGCCCTGCATGGGTGCATGCGTGGCCTATGGGGATGGCCACTTTGTCACCTTTGATGGTGAACGCTACATCTTCGAAGGCAGCTGCGAGTATACCTTGGCTCAGGTGTGTGGCCGCGGCCCCTCCCAATGAGTCATCTTTCTCTGTCCTTATTTTTGGCTTTTACCAGAGCCTCATCTCTTCCCTTCTTAGGATTACTGCAGAGGCAACTCCAGTACTGATGGGACCTTCCGTATTGTCACTGAAAACGTCCCTTGTGGGACCACGGGAACCACCTGCTCCAAGGCCATCAAGATCTTTATGGAGGTGAGAGTACATTTGAGGTCACTGGGTACTGCCTTCCTCCCTCTGCAGCTTCATTCCTGGCTCTTCAGCCACGAGGTATTCTCAAGGACAGGATAGCAAGTGACCCAAACCTGGGACTCACAATAGCAGACTCTATTGTCTTCCAGCCTTGAGCCAGAGTTCGATCAAGACTAGCAGGATTGTGCTCCCTATAGATCAGGGGGAGCCTTCGTGCCTTTCTGGGCTAGGGGCTCCAGGAGTCCTCCGTTTGTGGCAGCCTCATTGTAGTCTGCCTCTGGCTAACCATGGCCTTCTGCTCTGTGTCTATATGTCTCTGGTCATTGTAAAGGCAGACTGGGCTTAGGAGACACCCAGGTAATTCCAGACAACACAGGTCAAGATTTTCCCAAGGCTCTTTTTTCTAGTAGTGCTACTTTCAGGTTCTGGGAATTATTGGTATATTTGGCAGAGATATCGTACCCAGTGCCCCACTTCTGGTGAAGGAAAGTCAGAATTCACAGGCCAGAAAGCAGATCTGCTGGCTGGGGCTGTATCCCCCCCCTCCCCCCAGAGTGGAGGAAGGTAGCGTCAGGTCACCTGAGATGGGTTGGGAATGGCATGAGACAGCATTGCACATGTGAGCCTTTGGAGGCCTGCAGGCATGTGGCCTGACTTTCCCGATCCCCCACATGGCGAATCTTCCTCTGTTGAGGCATCTTCCAAGGGTAGCAGACAAGCTCCTGATCTCCCAGCTCCCTGAAACTGTTGCCCTGTGTTTCTCCATCTACAGAGCTACGAGCTGATTCTCCATGAAGGGAACTTCAAGGTGGTAGAAAGAGGGTCAAGCGGAGACATTCCATACAAGATCAGATTCATGGGCGTCTTTCTGGTCATTGAGATCCGCAGTGGGATAGTCGTGTCCTGGGACAGGAAGACCAGCGTGTTTGTCCGACTGCAGCAGCATTACAAGGCAAGTGTGGCTGCCAGGCACCCCGCTTGTAGGCTCAGCTCTGACAGGTCGAAGGCTGCTGAGGGTTGGTCCACACCGAAAAGCCCTGGCCACGGAGACCACACAACACCAGGTTCCAACAGGGATGAGTCAAGATGGCAGTGAATAACGGGTGTTCACGAACCATGATTCGCGAACCAGCCCTGCCCACAGGCCTGTGTGGAGAGAGAGTCTCCTACAGAAAATAAATGCAATTTGCCCACCTGCCCCGGGACCTTCTTCCTTAAGGTTCACTTGCAAGTTCACGGGATGCGACCCAGGAAAAAATGGATTCTCCCTATGTTCTACTCCCAAGCCAGGCTCGTGCCACAGCACCTAACTGCCCAGGGATTCTCTCTCCTCCTGTGTCTGCAGGGCAGGGTCTGTGGCCTGTGTGGGAACTTTGATGACAATGCCATCAACGACTTCACCACACGCAGCCAGTCTGTGGTGGGCGATGTGCTGGAGTTTGGAAATAGCTGGAAGTTCTCCCCATCCTGCCCGGATGCCCCGGTGCCCAAGGACCCCTGCACAGCCAACCCTTACCGCAAGTCCTGGGCCCAAAAGAAGTGCAGCATCATTAACAGTGCAACCTTCGCTGCCTGCCACTCTCAGGTAGGGCTTGAAGTCGCTTGCTTCTTCTTGGTAAGACTTGAGACTTGCAGAACTAGGAACATATCAGGCCTCTGAGGACCATCTTGGCCCAACCAGAGAACATGGTCCATGGCCCTGGGTTTTCAAGTTCTAGGTCTAAACACCAGCAGGATTCCCCCAGAGGAAGTGGTAACTGGTTCTCATTAGACTTCCAAAGGCTACCTCATGTTACTGCAGGTGAGACGCAGGTGAGTGGAAGAAAAGTGGCTTCACAACACAGGCTTTCAGGCCATGACTAGAAAGTGCTCATGGGTCATGGGCAGCCAGTGTTACTCACCTGTGTTGAGCACCCCAGGTCACCACAACCAACCTTGTGCACAGGTGGTCCCTCCTGCTACATGCTCCATGGCTTGGTTCACTGTGGCCTGACAAGGCTGTCTTGGAGGTGCTTTTGGTGGCAAGAGCAAGAGCTTGAGTCCACTCTGGGGTTTGCTAGTTGGCACAGTATGAATGGTGGGGACTCTCCTCTACTGAATTAGACAACTCTCTGTATTGGGGCTGGTTAACTGGTTAATCACATGCCTCACAGCTGTGCCAGTCTAGAAATTAAACAACGCTGGACAAAAAGTCCCTACCCACAACTCCAGCAGTTCTCAACCTGGGGGTCGTGACCCCTTTGAGGGCTGCCTATCAGATATTTACAGTATGACTCATAACAGTAGCAAACTTATGAAGTAGCAATGAAATAATTTTACGGTTGAGGGTCATCACACCATGAGGAACTATAGTATAAGGTCACAGCATTATAAAGGTTGAAAACCACTTCCCTGCTCCCTTGGGGCATGTTCACAGGGGTCTGGAAGTTCAGGTGGTCTTGGGGACCAGCTCATTTAAATGAATGAAGGATAAAATATGCTGTGTCCCAGCAATACTCCACAGGAATGAGGCAGGAGGGTGGTCAGGCAGGGGCTCACACCAAAAAGCGAAGCAGAGAGCTACCAGAAGTCATAGGAACAGCAATCCAGGGAACAAATCGGCTATGGGTAGGATGACATAGGATGGGGGCCAGCGCACTGGAACAGGAGTACAAGGACAGAAATGAGACCACAGTGCAGTGCCCTGAAGGTATGGACCTGTAGATCACGTGACTATATCAAGTAAAAAGATCCAAAGAGCATCAGCGAAGGCATACAGGTGGGCGGGTGCAGGTGTTAAAGGAGAGCAGGCGTGAGCGCGGGGCAGATGTGTAGGCACGCAGCTGTATGGGTGAGTACGCAGGTGGGCCCCCAGGCAGGCAGACGGGAAGGTGGGTGTTTGTGCAGGTACAGGTGGGCAGGCACACAGCGCTGTGCAAGTGGACAGCTGGATGGGTGCACGTGTGGATAGGACGGGGTGCACAGGCCAACAGGCACGCAGATATACAAGCGGTTGGGGGGGCAGGTACGCACATGAACAGGTGGGCGGGTTCCCAGGGTATGCGGGCGCACGGGTGGGAAGGTGTGCGGTGTCACAGGTGTGCAGGTGCAGAGATGAACAGCTGTGCAGGCAAGCGGGCGGGCAGGTGTGCAGAAAGACATACCGGCAGGTGCACAAGCGTCCAGTGGACAAGTGTACGTACGGACGGGGATGCAGGTATTCAGGCTGGTGAGCTGACAAGCTGTCAGGTGAGCATGTATAGGGACACAGGTGTATAGGTACACAAGCGGCGGGTTATGGGTGCGCGGGTGTGCGGGTGTGCGGGTGAAGTCGTGAGTGAGGAAAAGTAGCGTTGGACAGTTCCCATTTGCGACACTCTGGAAGTGGCCACAGTGCCAGATCAGGATTTTCATAGTGTGGGGTTTGGACTACAGCTAGCTCCAAAGCCTCCTCCACATTCACTGCCCCCTGACCCGCGCAGACAGTGCTGTGCCCGCCCTCCCCCTGTGCCACTTTGGCCCCTCCGCTCCAGGTTGATGCTACGAGATACTACGAAGCCTGCGTGCACGATGTGTGTGCCTGCGACTCAGGGGGTGACTGTGAGTGTTTCTGCACTGCCGTGGCCGCCTATGCCCAGGCCTGCCTTGACGTGGGTGTGTGCCTGTCCTGGAGGACCCCCGACATCTGCCGTGAGTGGGGCTCCGTCTACGGCACTGAAGGGTGGGACTGGGAAGGAGGTGGGAGGCAGTTGCTGTACCTTTCTCCTGGCTTGGATTCTGCCCACTCTGACTTGAGAAGAAAGGGAGAGGGAGAGAGAGAGACAGGGACAGAGACAGAGAGAGACAGACAGAGACAGAGAGAGAAAGAGAGACAGGGAGCTAGAGAGAGACAGAGAGAGACTGGGGCCTCCAGGAACTGGGCTAGGGACTGAACCCCGGGTGGCCATCTCTGCATGAGGCCTGGCAGGTGCCAGCTTAGCTCTGCCCTTTTTGCTCAGCTCTTTTCTGCGACTACTACAACCCTCATGGGGAATGTGAGTGGCATTACCAGCCCTGTGGAGCCCCCTGTCTGAAGACCTGTCGGAACCCAGCTGGACACTGCCTTGTTGACTTGTCAGGCCTGGAAGGTGAGGGCTGAACATTTTGGTGAAAGCCTTCAGGCTCATACCATGCTTGGTACCTTTAGGGCAGACCTGGTTTACTAGGGCTTCTCTGCCACTGATTGGGGGAGGGGTGGACAGATACATGCCCGAGAGAGTGAAGTCAATGGTACCCCTGCCTGCCCTAGGCTGCTATCCAAGGTGCCCACCCAGCCAGCCTTTCTTCAACGAGGACCAGATGAAGTGTGTGGCCCAGTGTGGCTGCTATGATGATGGCGGAAACTACCATGATATTGGCACAGAGGTCCCTACAGCTGAGAATTGCCAAAGTTGGTGAGAAAGGAGGTGGGGAGGAAAGAGGGTAGAGACCTGGAATGGTTGGGAGAGGCCAGGGAGGGTTAAAGCGTGTGTTAGCTAGGGTTGCCCACAGATCCTTAGAGCCCCTGTCTTCCCTCCAGCCTCTGCACCTCTGAAGGCCTCCAGTGCACTCATGACCTTACAGGTAAGGACAGGCTGTGGGCTGGGGGTTGGAGGAAGGCCGGAGGCTGGGTAAGCTAAGTCAGTGTGTATAACCCCCAGCCTGCACATGCGTCTATGAGGGCCATGCCTACCACTACAATGATGTTATCTACAACACCACGGATGGCCTTGGGGCCTGCTTAGTGGCCATCTGCAAAGAAAATGGAACTATAACACGTACCACTGAAGAGTGCCCTGAAGTGATGCCTACCACACCATTCACGTTCACCACCACGCTGGCACCCCGTACCACAACAGGTAAGCCCGTACCTGGCTTTACGGGAGCCCTAGGACTCTAAGCTATTAACCCAGGAAGAGGCTTGGCTTGGCTCCCATCTGGGATAAGGGAAGATGAAAGCTGTCAAGAATGCCAGCTACAGAGACATCCTGGGTCCTGACCCGCTCTCCAGTAGCCCGGGCTCTACCTTGGGTCCGTGACCCTCACCCCTCCCTCCTTGATTCCCTAAGAAGCCTTAGCATAACTGGAAGAGCTGCCACCAGAGGCCACAACAATTCCCAGGCTCCATTTGTGCTTGGTGTATTCCACTTCAGTCAACAAGCTCCCTTGAGACTGGCTGCTAGGTCCTAGATCCAGGTCACGAATGGTCTTAACTTGCATTGAGGTGAAGAGCCATCTCTTCCCTCAGCCTGAGATAAGAGGAGCTGAGCAGGCCTTTTTTTTTTTTTTTTAATCACTTTCACACAGGCTCAGCTCGTTCTGTGTCCACTGTGTGTGTCCATGAAGTCTGCCGCTGGTCCATTTGGTATGATGAGAACCGTCCAGAGCCTGGCATGACAGGTGGGGACTTTGAAACATTAGAGAACCTGAGGCACAAAGGGTACCAGGTGTGTCAAACTCCATCTGCCATTGAGTGTCGTGCAAAGGATTTCCCCAGCATGGACTTACAGGAGCTGGGGCAGAAGGTGAACTGTAATCAATCCTGGGGGCTTAAGTGCATCAACAGTGAGCAGAGCCCCCCGTTCTGCCACAACTACGAGCTGAGGGTTCTGTGCTGTGATTACGTGCCCTGTAGTTCCTCCACGATGTGGAGCACAAGTACTACTCACTCCCAGCTTGAGATCAGTACAAAGCCCTCTTCTTCCACTCGGAGCACTCACACAGCAGCCTCGAAAACCCAGCCATGGACTGAAGAAGGCAAAGAGACCTCCCTGGACACGAGCCAAACAGTGCCATTCACTTCAGAAAGCCGGGCCACTTCCCATCCTATGTCGTCCACACACCCAGTCAGCAGCCCCGGGGGCTCCACCCCCTGCCAGCCCCAGTGTCAGTGGACAAGGTGGATAGACACCAACTACCCCACATCTGACATCGACGGGGGAGACATCGAGACGTACGAGAGCATCAGGGCCGCTGGAATATATATCTGTGAGCAGCCTCAGGCCATCAAGTGTGTGGCCCAGAACTTCCCTGAAATGAGCCTGGACATTTTGGGCCAGGAAGTGAACTGTGATGTCAGCTTCGGCCTGGTGTGCCACAACCGGGACCAGACGGGCGCTTTCCCGATGTGCTACAATTACATGATCAGGGTGCTGTGCTGCAGTACCAGCCACTGCCAGGGCCCCACCACCACTGGGCCGACCCTGGCGCCGGGAACGGCCACTACTGCCACCCAGACCCTGTCCTCCAGGCCTCATTCCAGCACTAGTCCAGTTGAGTCCTGGTCTCCATCAGGCTCCAGCACC